TAAAATCCATGTAATTAGGTATTTAGCTAGCACAGTGGGTAGTCCTAAATTGACAAACCTATTAAAATACTCTGATAGCAGTTGAATGTGATAGGCTGGGATGCATTTGTACTCTTGAGTAATTTTATTTTTTAAATGGTGAGAAGGGCTTTTCCTGTGCAGAAGGCAGGTGATTCAGGTATGCAGAAAGCATGAACATAGAAAATGGGTGTTTCTGTATGGGTAGGACTAGAATGTAACATCACAAAACAAGAAGTTCAAGTTATGTGTAAAAAGAGGAGATTTGGGTTCTTTTCTGCCTCTGCAACAACCATGCCATAAAACTTAAGCTAGCTGTGAGAATTTCAGTTTCCATAGGGATAACATAGGATGTCCCACAACTTCAGTATTTGGCTTTGCAGACTTTGCAAGTTGCATAAGGAAGGATCAAATTTATGATGGAAATCTGTAGCTCACTGTGCTTTAACTTGCAACTTCATAACTGAAAGTCTAGGTTGAGTATTTGCAGAGAAGATATAACCACTCTTAAATAATGGGTAAATACCAAGAGAGCTCAGAGTTTGGGTCTTGCCAGATTTTATGGCTGCATCCAATGATGATAATGATTATTATTAGTAGTAGTATTCAAAACTGTATTTTAGAATAATTATTTACTGACCAGATCTTGATTCCACATCTCATTCTGAAGGAGTTTTTAGTGATATTTATGATCACAATTTTTGTGGTCTGTTCTGCAACTAAAGGGTACTTACTCTCTAAATTAACTGACAAGGTGTTTAATTCTAAAGTACTGTCCACTGTCATATCTATTTTTAAGAACTTTCAGTACTGTACATAAGAGGAAACTAATAATTGCTCAGGCATTAGAAGTCCCTTTCTGATCTTTGAATCTTTAGTGTGGATATTAATACTCTTGAGGTTCATATCATGTTTTATTGTGGTATTTCAGTCGTTGATGAATAGGTAATTGTGTTCCTGATTAACCTAAAAATGACTAGCATAAAATGTTTTACACGAAGATCCACTAGTTCAGTCCTGACTTCCTTTTCCTAAATTCTGAGTTACTTAAAATGGGCTTCCGTAATAAAATTTAAACATTCAGTTTGAAGCAGTGCTGGCTTCTGATCTGCTGAGATAATTTGAAAAACTGCTAATTATGGCATACATGCTTTGAATTTCTCAATATGGAATTCCCATATGAATAAAGTCTTGGTTTTAATTTTCATTTCAGCATACTCTTCACTTTTATCCTTGATTTTTTTTGATTTCCTACAAATTATTTTTGGAGATGCTTTGAGGGATACAACTTTGAATAGATCTCTGTACACCGGTACTTTTGCAGGTTTAAAGAATCCCATAGGGTTGGGATTTTTTTTTTGGCCTTCAAAATCAGGAAAGAGAGGCAAATATTTTTATAACACTAAGATATGTAAGTACAAGTGAGAGGTCTTTGAGGTCTGTGTGTCTCACACAAGGGGTTTTCATATACATATCAAAGATACAAATAACCTTAAATGCAGCCACCATTTTTGTGAGAGCAAAACAGGAGGTTTAAGTTTAAGGAGGATTAAGTTTGCAAAGGAATGGTGTTGGATAGGCGATCCAGGCATTTCTTTCTCTCATGAAACAAAGGTAACCAGAAAGGTTGATGGAGAGAACCATGAATCTATTTCCTCTTGTTTGAAGAATGCTTGACTGAATGGGTAAAAGACTGAGAAGAGTCTGTGCCAACTGAGCTGGTCTCACCTTAGTTAGACAGAGTATTTCTGTTCCATTTGTGACCAAAAGAAAATGATGGGTTTGGTTTCTGTTTTTTTTCCTTGTACAGCTCTGTGGAACAGTGGTAACACATACTGGAAACGTTAAGGGGTAAGTAATAAGCTTTTTAAGTCAATTCTTGGTCTATTACTACTTTATTTTTAAGAAAGCTGCTCTGATTTCTGTAACTCTCTAAGGTGCTCTAAGGTTTAAAAATAAAAAACTTTTTCAACCATATTCAGGTTCATATGAAAATCTGTGCCTTCATTCTGTTTAAATGACATTAAAATTTTATCTTTATCAATTTTTTATCAGATTTTCCTGAATTGTTTTTGTTATTATTTCCAGGCTATGTAAATGAGGCTCAAGATTCTTCTACGGGAGCATATCATTATTCTTCCAAGTGTATTGACATTTCCATTCATCTGACGAATCCTGAGCCATTTGTTTTATGTCAGCTGTACTGTAAATCCCAAATATACTATTGAATGTTATGCCATAATCTACTGTACAGAATATTTTGAGATCAGGGCACTGCCTCTCAAATACCACTGTTCAAGGCTTGAATAAAAATGTTTTCTGTTTTTTACTTTTTTTACACTGGGCTTTGTACCTTACATCACAGTATATAAATTAATTAGATAACAGCCTTTGCCTAGGAATTCTCTGACAGTTGTTCAAGTTCTTATCTTAAATTGTTGATTTGTGTTAAATACAGTACATACACGTTTACATAAAAATACATTTTGTATACAGAGACTTTTGTATATACATTTTTCTTAAAACTTCTAAGTGTTTAGTTAAGATTTTAATATTGTATAATACTCTACACAAATGAATTTACCAGCATGATCAGTGTTGCTATTTGGTGCTCTTGAATGACCACATTGGACTAAATTTGAATTTTAATGGGTTCCACAGTGTCTCTTTGTGCATCTGAAAAGTTCAGTTGTAGTTTTGTTTTCTTCCTCTTTTTTTTTTTTTTTTTAAATTATTTAATATTTAGCGGGTTTTGCAGTATAGACCTAAAAAAAACTTTTTGGAGAAGTTTGTTTTTAAACTTTGAGATGGGGGGGGTTGGGGGTGTGGGGGTTGCATAATATAGTGAAAAAGCTAAGCTTTCTAGAGTTCAGTAGTACTCAAAAAGAGCATGAGGGATGTCCTATGTTGGCAATTTTTAGAATGCTTTACATTCTCTGTCTTCCTTTTCCTCTTTGACACCCACTTCTGTAACGTCCTTAATGGTATCACTGTGACTCTTTTGGGGGCAATGATACTATTCTTGCTAAATAATTTTAAACTGTGATTTCCAATGTTAAAATTCAAATATGTTTAGCAATGGAGTTAACATTTGTGCTACTAAGAGTTACAGCCTTGAATTTAGGCAAACAGTTGCATTGCTGAGTTAGTTAACAACAGAACTCATCAAAAGGCCAAAAGTATGTATGTTACCGGTCTAAAATGTTTTGGCAGGTGAAGTAGTTGGATATATTGATCTAAAATAATCTCTTCATATATCAGTATTGTCAACTTCGTTTCCAGCAAGGTTCATTATGTTGAAGTAGGGTTAATTCTGTAAGTCATTCTTGTAATTTCAAAGAAATGCTTGAAAAGTGATACAAGTCTTTAATCCAGAATAACCTTAAATTTTTAATTTTTACATCATAAATGGAAACATTTCTAATTGACAGTATGTAGCATATGTGTATATGTAATGTTCAGAACTGCAGATTTTTAAAAGTTTCTATTTTTAATTTGAGAAAATGTTCCCAGTTCATTTAAATAAAAAAGAACTTGCTTAACTACCTGATGTTTGATTCTCACTTGTTTTGTTGTGTAGACCTGTCTCAGAAGAGTTGCACTGAGTTAAAATCTTAGGAAAATTTATTTTTTTACCCTGAATAAAAATTTCTGCTGTATTTGACTTTTATTTTTGGAGCAGGATGGACTGAAAGAACATTGACTCTGGGTGAGGGAGCTTCCAACTTCCACAAAGGATCTGAATTCTGCAAAGATGGTAGGATTCAAGCTAATGAGTTGTGGAGTATATCCATATAACCTGTTTCTGTAGCCCTGACAGGAGAATTAAACATTTGCTAGTTCTTCAGCTCCCATAGTTCACTGCTGGCATTCTAGCTTACCTTGTAAAAGGGCAGTTGTTTTCTACTGATACAAGAGACCATGAGCTCTTTCATCTGAAGCACAGGCAGACAGAGGACACAAAGTCAGATGGGAGTGAGACAAACACTTGGCAGTAACCTAGTAGCTGTAATATGTAAATATACTGTAATCAAAGTTTTGGTATTTATCCTTATCCTTGTAATTTATTTGTTTTCATGATTAAACTTGAAAACTTTGAGAACAAGTGATCTGAAAGTGGTATAAAGTAACTTTTAAGTTGTTTTAAACTCTTTAGCAGTTATTAGAATGAGACAGATGTCTTTAGTTTCTTATCTAAGAACTGTCAATGCTGTTGTGCATAACAAAGTGCAAACAATACAGTTGTTTGTCAAATATTATGAGGCATTTGAGTGCTTGCAATAGGGATTTGAAATCCTTGAAATTAAGTGTGAGGTGGCCAAGGGGATTCTTCTCTCTGGCTGGCTGAAGGGTAAGAAGACTCCCTAGAAAACAACTAAGAGTGAATTATAAGTCTTCAGTAGGTTTGTACCATTGTTGTCCCTAGATTTGGCTGGAGAGCCACACCCTACCTTGATAGAGACAGACAGGGAAACTAATGGGGCGAATAGAGATGAGGCCTCTACTAAAAATGTTACTAAAATAGCCTTAGAGAGGGGATGAAAAGAAAACAAGGTTGTTCTCTCTGTTAAATGATATTTAGTCCTGTGGAACTTGATGACACATTGGAAGAACAAGGTTCATGATACCCAGAATGGATGTTCCAGATGGCTCCACTTTCAAGTGGGCAACTTCCAGATTAGCTGGGGACTCCCCACAGCAGCTGGGACTCTTGTCAACTGCCCCAAGAAACTTTTGTTGTTGTTGTTGTTCTGCTTTGCCCAATGTGTTAAATGAATGTTTTTGCCATACTATTTTCTTTAATGCTGCCTGATGAGCAACTAGATACAGAAAATGGTGTTCTGTTCTGTTATGTATGGCCAGTCTTAACCCCAGGGTTTCTAGCACCTCAGTTTCATACCTAATACCCCTTTCCAGCAGCTGGTCAGGTAAAGCTGAGTGTGGCATATATGTCTTAGGAAGAAGTGCCTGGTGGGGGTCTTATTAGCCAGAAAAGTACTGTGTCTTACCACAGCAAGGGAGGAGCTTTTCCTCGTGACCTTCTGAATGCCAAGGGAGTTACAGTGATTTTTCTTTAGCTCTGCTTTTAGTTACTGCAGCAGAAACCGCACTAAAATATTTCTATTCTCTTGCCTTTATTTTATGTCATTTTTACAGCTCACTTTTTATGAACAGGAAAATACCTTTTTTTAAAAGAAAAAAAAAAGTAAAAAGTGATGAAGCACAAATGTCTGTCTGATATGCTTTGTGGTCTGTTTCCTGCTGCTGTGACCCATGATAAATTAGTTCTGATGTCTTGCTCTGTCGGCTGAAAGTAACTCATGGTGTGACAATGACGATAAAACTTCCAAACGTTTGGTGTATGTTTAGGCCTGTAATACCTTATTTTGCTCAAGCTTTATTCCTTATCTTGCTTAAGTATTGCAAGTGTAAAAATCTTTCATGGCTCAAAGAATATACGGTTTATCTTTCATGCATCCTCACTGCATGTCATGTGCTGACAAAATGAAGTGCTAAAGGTGCATCCTTACTGTGCAAATCCAAAGAAAACCGGTTGTACAAATCAGCCTTTTTTACTAGGACACGTTTATAATCATCCAGATGTAGCTGCAGAGATTGTTTTGACACTTTTATCTTTTTTTCTTTGATATGGTCTTACAAGCTCTGGCATGAAGATAGCTATAAAGCAGCTGGAGAATGGCAAATATCTGTTAAAAATCAAATATGACATGTTCATCCTGAATAGGAATGTGCTTCTCAGTTATACAACTATCGTGCTGTATTTAACTGCATTTACAAGACTTGTCTTGTTACCTTCTTGGGAGTTCACACTCCCAAGGTTATTCGACACTCCCTTAGGCTATAAATTATGGGCACGTGCCTACTGAAGTGTGATTTATTATTTTTATAAAAAGGCCCAACCCTTACATCCCATGTTTTGCTGGAAAGAGGCTTCTTTGTGCACCAAGCCTTTAAATTGTGAGCAACCATTTACTTACTGATTTCGCTTTTTTGGATCGTGTTGCTCAGGGATCTCGGTCAACTCCTCACACCATGAAGGGTTTTACTCTTCTTTTCCTAGTTGTTATCTGTGGCATGGGAGGATTGGGACAGAAGCTGAAGCCAAAGAGAAGAAGCAATGGTGAAGAAATCAAATTTCGGACTAAAACCAAAGACGTTTGCACAATGAGCATTAGTGGGGACGATGAGGAGATGAAACTTAGAATTGAATGCAAAAGCCAAGACATGTCCTACTGGTGTGAATTCACTGGCAAGCCATCAGTCTGTCGTGCTTTCAGAAATAATCCAAAGATTTACTGGAATCAGATCGCTGCAGAACTTAGGAAGATCCCTCATGCTTGTGAATCCACAGAAGTGTTGAAGACCTCCATGTGCCAAAAGGCTCCTCCAGAGGCTCTCATGAAGCAAATAGCTACTGGTGTGGAGCCAGAAGAGCTAGCAAACCAGGAAGAATCAGTGCAGAAAATGTCCAGTTCTATGAGAGGAGCAGGGCAAGGGTCTGAAAATGAAACAGAAGCAATGAAACTGGCACGGGAACATTGCTGGGAATCCCTGCATGGTTTCTGCTCCTACATTATTGGCATCTTTAGGGGTTAAGGACTCACTTCAGGTAAAATTAGCATCTGGAAGCACAGTAGAATATACACAACAGTAATTCTATTGTACTTTTGTTTTAAATTTACTTTGGGGATCTCTCAGGGATGTGGACAGGGAGATTCTAGTCTCACTTGCTAAAATCTGACATTGCAAATCCTGTTTTGTGGCTTCTGAGGGGCTGGACTAAACTTTCAGTGATGCCTATTAGTTCAGGATTCCCTTACAGCCTCACATTGAGGTCTTTAGTACATACTCAGATGTTTGCCCTATCTGTTGTTGTTAATCTTACAGTATTTCCATTCTAACTGTTTGAATTGGGCTAATTTTTCTCCTTCTGTCATTCCTTCCCTTCTGGATTTATCCCAGGGAAGTAAGATAAATAACAAATGCATCAGATCCAATAACAAATGCTGCACCAGCTAGAACAAATTAAAACTACATTCAGAAACTGAGAGGATAAAGTTTATTCATCAAAACTGCTAGTTAATAATCAACTATTTTAATTTCAACAATTAGTTAAGAAACAACTTGCAGAAATGAGTAAAACCAAATGGACTGTCCTGGTTTGTGGGTCTGTTACTGTAGGGTTGACAAGAGATCACATGCAGGTGCTTGCCTGGTAAGTCTCAGGTTTTCAGCCAGGATTTAAAAAGGCAAAGCTCTTCATTGCAGAACTGATTAGTTTTATACGCACTTCCATTTCGGCTCAGAGAGAAAGCCAGGAGCTGGTGAGTGAACCTGGCAAACACTTGACAGAAATGGGAGTATATGCAGCATGAGCTGGCAAGTGTTTAGGTTGCTAATGATAATTTATGCCTAAAACAGCAAAGTGACTAATTTTTTTTTCTTTTTTGTTTTGCAGAGCAAAATTATTACAGCTGAAGAAGGGTCCTTGCTGTAGTTTAATAATTTAGACATAAGAATTTTGGTTTAAAAACGAATTATTTCTGTTAATCTTGTAGGTGTTTTCTTTCTATGCCCCTAAAATGAAACTTTTTAACAGCCCTGAAAAATGCATGAAACTGGAGTGACTGTGTTTAAAGTGTTAGGATGAACGAACTGTCACTAGACCTGTTACACACCCAGGTGTGCATTTAAATAACAGAGGTTCTGCTTTAGGAGTGCTGACCTTGCATAGGTTTTTGTATGTGCTGATTTGCTTTAGTTTGTTAGAGATGAAAGCTGTTAATGATGATACAGTTAGTGCAAACAATAAAAATAAAATTTTTGAAAACATACTTGTGTGCTTTCATAAAATTTTAACTAGTGCTACTTGTATAAAGTCACAGTATTTGACACTTGTTTCCTAAGAGATTGTTGGTAGAATGTGTTAGAGAAGTTACAGGTCTGAGTCATTACTTCTGCACTGTGAACACATTTTCATTAATATTAATATTTTCAATATTGTGAGGTTTATATTACAATGATGAGTTTCAGCCAGCGGGGAAAAAAAAGATTGTAGAAATAAGAAAGTAGCGTAAGAATACATTTACATTTCTAAACAAATGTTCATCAGTGATGCATCTGCAGAGTTCAGTGTTATCAGGACCTCTTAGTGGTAATATTAACGTTTGGGTTCAGTAGATTTTCTGAAAAGTAACTCACTTGGCAACTTGGGCAGTTGCATAAATTTCATCAAAACACAAAACAAGACCTAATGGCCTGTTGTCAGACTATGACATGTTTGTATTCAGATTATTATTTAACAGTGATCCCTTTTGTTCCCAAGTAAGCTTTGCATCAGGGCTACAACTGGAAAAACTTTATACTGTAGAAATTAGTACTTCTCTATGTTTGCCATTACAGATTTTGTGCAAGGTAGTGTTTGCTGAAGTACTTCTCTAGCTTTACTCTCACATTTGTAATTCTCACTACACAGTTCCAGATTGTGATTGTCCAATCATTAAACTTGGAGCCTTGTACCAAAAAACTTGATATAGTTTTCTGTCTCCAAACCTCTTGAAATATGTGGAAAGAACAGCAAGCCATGAACACAGGATCAGTGCAGAAGATTGTATGTACAAGGCAGAAATGCAACCTGAATGCTGATAAAATGTAAGCTGTAATTTTGTCTGCCATGAATCCAGTGTGGTTAATCTTCATTGGTAATTTCAGTTACCATTGTCAGGCTCCTGCATTGTGAGTAAAAAAATGTAGTAGTACACCTATTGCCTTATTTTTGTCATAGACATGAATATAATTGTTAGATTTGCAGACATGCAAAATTCATCAAAGTGATATTAGGGAACTTTTTGTAATGTTAAGGAAAGGTTGCATGTTTTCTTGAGGTATGCTTTTAAATATTTTAAAACTCTTTTTTTATCTGATACAAAATCCACTGTGCAGAGGGAATGTTTTGCAGTACAATGAATGTTTTCCACTACAACACTAATGACCTCAAAAATGAGACAATGACTTGCATTGAGAGAAGTTTGAGAGAATCTGTTGCCCCCATACTGGTAGCAGGAGAAAAGAGGAAGTTTCATCAGTTCACCAAAAGAAAATTTTCCCCTTTATACCATCAGTGAGTCAGCAACTATAGTGATCTTGCTTTCAAAATGTTTAAAAATTGGATATTAACTGAAGTACCCCACCTCAGTGTAACAGCACTGTGATTGTATCAGCCACATTACCATTTAATTGTGTTTAGCACCAGAAACCAGTTATGACATTTCAGTTACCCTCTGGGTATGAAAGTGCTATTTATTAAAGGATGGATTGAAAAGTTTTTGTGGTGAGTTTAATGCAGTCTTTGGGTACCTTGTGAATGAAAACTGCTGTTTCATTCATTTTAGGTAAACCAGTTAGTCCCTGTATATGTAAGTACCTCAGGAAATCCGTTCAAGTGGAGGGAGGTCTTTGAATTTGTCTTTATTTTCCTGACAGAGGAACAGCAGGCAAAAATGTCTGGATTCCTGCAGGCGGGGAGACCACTGATACCCAGACCTGCTACTTCTGCTGTTAATTCAGTGCAGTGTGAGGTGTCCATCTGCCTCGGGATCCTCACGTTTAGGTTCCCACTGAAGCAATGCAAGTATTTGTTACTTTGACAAGGGAAGCCTTCAAGAAAAGCAATATGAAGCATTTGGAGAGCCTGTGTATGAAAGGATGTGTATTTAACACGCATAGTTACGATCTAAGAAAGACTGGAGTGAGTGTAATGGGAAGCCGTTGAGATGGTCAGAACTGGAGCATGCTCCTGTGAGGAAAGATCAAGGGAATGGGTTGTGTTCAGCCTGGAGAAGACTTGGGGAGGTGGGGGGGACCTAGTAGCTGCCCCTCAATACATGTGAGGAGGCTATGAAGAATATAGAGCCGTGCTCTTCACTGACTTGTGTGATAGGAGAAAAAGAGGTCGTGGTCACAAATTGATACAAGCGAGGTTCTGACTAGGTGTAAGGGAAAACATTCTCTTTAAGAAGGATAGACGCAGCAGTGGGTTCCCCAGAGCAGCTCTGGAATTTCCATCTGTGGAGCTTTCCGAGACCAACTGGACAAAGTTTAAGCAACATAGTCAGAATTCGCTGTGAACTGCTTTGAGGAGAAGGTTGTACTACAAACCTCCTAAGGTGTCTTCTGGTCTGAATGATTCTATGATTTACAATGGAAACACAGAATAAAGCTGAGTATTCAATAATGAACACCTCTCTTAGCATCTCTATCTCCTGAAAGTGAAAAAATACTCTTAGATCAGCCGTTCTGCCAAATGAACCAGAGACATTATTTTGTTAATTACTTTCTGATGGCAGATCTCATTATTAAGTCAAATGCATCATCTTGGGTAACTTTGTGTTCAGTGCCTCTGACCTTTGATACATATTTTAATTTAGCCTGGGTTTGACAGCAGAGAAAATCATTAAAGAAGTCAGGTGTTAGGGAGCACGAAACGCCTTAAAATCAAATACCCCAACCTAAGAAAATCGCTGTTTGCAGTGTGGAGGTTTTTTTTTTCCTGGAGTAGGCCAAATTCACACCCCCATAATATTGCTTAGCCTGCTTGTAAATCATCTCAACTATGCAGTAGTGCACTCTGGTGTTTTCCGAGAGAATTGTTTAGGTGTGCTTGGTTGTTCTTGCAGCTTCACATTTTGCATTCTTGATTTTTCGGTAGATTTCATAGTTAATATGGCATGGATTTTAGGGACAGAGATCTTCCACAAAAATACAAGGACAGAGTAAAAAATAAAATTTCCCAAGGCTGCCTGTTGCCGTTCCTTCTTCTGTAAAAACTTTGTGGTTGTCAATTTCTTTTTTTCTGTTTCTCTTCTTCTCTGAAGAGGAGTCAAACACAGCTCAGGAGATTTTTTTTTGGCTCTCTCTGCTTTTCCCCTTACAAACAGGAGAATTGTTCTAATCAGACTTCAGAGATTATTTTACAGTGACTAAAAGTATGTGATACATGCACAAGAACAGGAGTAAGAAGACAAAGCAGGGGAGATGCAGTGGGTACGATGACGTGACATTGGTGTTATCTCATGGACACATTGTTCACTCTCTCATCTTGCATACGAAGTTAACTGCTTGATGTCAGGCAGGAGGTCAGGTGTTGAATTTCCAGAGTAGCTGTGTGTCCTGGAAGCACAGAACTGTATGTACAGAGCGAAAAAAAAAAATGAAGCCGACGTCTGATTTGGAGCGGAAGTTCGTGTTCCCCTCCCTGCTGCCCTCTCCTCAGCAGGTTATAAAACTGTTTGCATAACCTGCTGCTCGCCGTAGGCATCCCTCCCGTGGTAACTCCTGCTGCCTCCAGGCTCACAGTGATTGTAGTTAGGAGGGGAAACAGTGGTGTTCTTTTAGATCTGCTGGCTGCAGATGTAAAAAAACCCCTGCATTACTCTGTCACTATGGCTGTGGCCTGTGAAAATTAATGTGCCAATGGTGACATTGGTTGTCCCTTTATTTATCTTACTGGTGTAACATGGGGGTCCTCCCCACAAATGCAGCTGTAATAAAATGAAGAATTTGCTTAGGAACTGAAGAGGTCTAGAAGCTTCCCAGCAAAAGAAATGGGTAGCCAAATTCAGGCTCTGAATTCTGGCAGAGGGGCCTCCCCATTTCCTCTGCCAAACAGCCCAGCGGGTGGACAGGAGTGTTGCCCCCCATCCTTCCCTCATCCCCCCCTTCAAGGCGGGTGCAGACCACATGGGTGCTGTCACCGGGGTACTGAGATGATCCCCTGTATTCTATGCTCTAGAAATTTACCATGGTAATCCACAAATGTGTGTTTGCAGCTGGAGAAGGTTATCTGATGCCCTTGGAATAACGTGGGAGACCTGGTCGGTGTGGGAAGGTGACAGGAGGCAAGCATGGAGTAGGGTTTCCACATCCATGTACAAAACATTGCCTGAGCCTCTCATAGCTCTCTGGGGTCTCAGATGGAGCAAATTAAGCTGAAGCTCCAGTGTTTGAGCAACACCTGTTTTTGGGGAGGGGGAAAGTCACATGGCCTCTGAGAGGGTCACCTCCTGAGGGAGCTGCCTGTGACACAGGTGTGAGCAGCTGTGCCAGCCCCGGGGGGCTGCTCTTGTGTTGCGGGGCCATGTTGCAGTGGTGGGGTTTGGCTGTGGCTCCAGGGCACTGAGTGGTGCTGACGAGCGGGGTTTGCTGGCAGGTGTTGCCATCTTGGCTCTTCTGCAGGGACCAGCTGGGAGCATCAGTGCTCAGGGGAGGGATGGCTGGCAGGACCCTGCCAGGGGGTGGGGCCACAGCAGAAGAGACACTCTTATCTTTTGAGTCATGTTGGTGAACTTGGGCCATGGGCAAGTGGGTTTGCCCCAAAGCTGGATGCCAGACTAGGCTGTGGAGATGTGGTTTTTTAGGACAAGATGTCTTTCTGTCCCCAAGACCTGCCTCAAATACTGTTGTCCCTCATGACCCATTCCATGCCCCTTTCTCTCATCTGAGATTTTCCAAGACCTGTTTTTAAAACCCTTCTGTAGAAATCCACACTGTGTCTGCCAGGAAGGTGGGCTACTCCAGCATGACAGGAGATATTTTTCCCAATGTACCAGACAAGAAGACATAAGAACCATTAAATGGCAGCAATATAGAACATCACCTGTAGTCATCTCTCTGCCCTGCCTTCTTGGGCCTGAAATCTTTTACATAGTTAGAATCAATTCAGTAGCATTTGATCATACTGGAAATCTTGGCTCAGGTGGGTCAACAACTGAAAGAAATCAGAAATACCATTTTCCTTC